CATAAGAGGGGTGGGGGTGACGGGGTAGAGAAAGTATCGGGTGCGGAGGCCTACACTAGTAACGCTACCCAAACATAACTCATCGCTCTCCTCTAAGGCGTTGACACCGACAGGCCGCACTAAACCAAGTGGAAGCCCATCACGGACACCCGAGGACAGGAGATAAACAAACTCATAAATACATAGATACAACGACAGTGTGAAGACACTCGACACCACCATTCTCTAAGCCACACAGTAGTAAGGCTATCCGGCCTTGAGTGACTGGGGGAGATAGGACTACTGGGGGAGATAGGACTACTGGGGGAGATAGGACTACTGGGGGAGATAGGACTACTGGGGGAGATAGGACTACTGGGGGAGATAGGACTACTGGGGGAGATAGGACTACTGGGGGAGATAGGACTACTGGGGGAGATAGGACTACTGGGGGAGATAGGACTACTGGGGGAGATAGGACTACTGGGGGAGATAGGACTACTGGGGGAGATAGGACTACTGGGGGAGATAGGACTACTGGGGGAGATAGGACTACTGGGTTGAGGATGAGGAGATTAGTGAGTCCTAGGTACTGTAATGCTGGCCTCTTCCATTTCCTTTAATAATTGATGGCTAATGTATGATGGTTGAACACCTAGTGTTGATGGTTGAACAACTAGTGATGGTTGTCTTTCAATCTGGTAGATTACTGATATTACTGTTATATTCTATTATGAAGTTATACCCTTCAAGAATCAATGGGTATACGTCATTATTTTAAAAAGTACAAAAATGGGATGTAGCAACTGCAGATTGCCACTTTAAAGTATTAGGAGTTTGTGTCATTGTCGGTCTGCCTGTGTCTGTCCTAAGTTTATTTAGTAAATATTTTCTTAACTCTTTCTTTAACTGAATTGTTGGTTAAGGGCTTGCAAGTACCTGTTGTATTCGACGCATGTGACAAATACATTTTGATTTGATGTCTGTGTGTCTGCCTGCCTGTGTCGGTCGTTATGTCTGTGTCTGCCTGCACAACACTCCTTGTTTCTTGTCTCCAACCTTCCGTTCCTTGCTGAGCCTCATTCATCCCTTTACCTCGCCATACATTTCTCTTCTTCCTTCATTAAAAGGCATGACGTCCTCCGACGCCTACGACTAATAAACCAAAGGGCTAATAGAACAAGTCCCCATCTCCCTCTGGCATTGACCGACCCACTGGCTGTCTGGCAGTCAGTCACCTCCGCCACCCAAAGTGTGACGACCCCAATAAAGGCTTTTAACCTTTGAGACAGTATCCTGTAGAAAGGCCTTGCTTCCACCAATGTTTATGATTAGGGTGGGATCATCAATTGAGCTCTCAGAAAGGCACTCACCATCACACTCACTGATAACAGGCCCAATGACCAGTGGCGGCTGCTGATTGGCTGAATACACGGGGAGTGAGGTGGTTGGAGTTGTCAACAAAGCAGCATGAAAAAAATGATGGCAAGTTTTCGAACTAGCTGTAATTTTTTGGAGAACATATATAAAGTGATCTGTGCATTTGAACAACAGCATAAATAAACATTTCAATTTTGCATGTCAAAACCCGAATGACCACTGCTGCACATTCTGCCACTGATTAGATTATACTATGTAGAATGAGCAGTCAGCTCACGAATGAACGAGTGCACCAGGGAGAACGCAACAAGCACGCAGATACAATAAGTGAAAACACATTATCTAACTGGGGATAGCTAGCTAACAATGTCACAAAGCATGATGCGCTAGCCAAATTTCATTCTGAAATAACTTCATATTTCTGAGTTAGTCAGATATTAGTTTAGAAAGACTTGAAATTGGCATGGGAGCTAACTAGTTAGCAAACTACCAGCTAGCTGCTTATCAACAGAAGATAACTGGTCAATTTGACCAACAACAACAAACGTCGACCAAACTATTTCTTAATGTTTCTCAAAATGACTGCAGTTGGCTAATTAATGTGATTATGCTTTGTGATACACCAGGTTTTATGCTGTTTTAGTCCACACAACGTGTCGCCCCGTTGCCTAGCTACAGTAGAACCTGATGAACAACATTGGTGGGGAACAATAAAATTGGCCAGCCACCATCATGCTTTTTTTAACCTACCAGCTCTGCGATGAGGTTCTAGCTAGTGTATCCTTCTGTCCTTCGACTCGTGTTGGATATTATATCCGGATTATAAGGTCCCAGGCTCCCATGACTATTATGATTATTTATATTAAGTTAATTACAATTAGCTTTTTGCTTTAGCACCATCTGTACCTGATAGAGCAGATCTAGTGTCATGTGCAGAAGTAAGCAGTCTGTTTGCGAGAGACTCATTGGGAGGAAGACTAGAGCATACCCAGAAGTTCTGACTGAACGTACATTTGAGCATCCCAGGACAGTCCATTTACTTTGTGATGTTATAATTTATGCCATGAAATCCTGCCATTTCCTTGAGGCAGTTCTCCTTCCTAGCGAATAGCTGGCAAAACAGTCCAAGCAATGTCCGCACGGCCTATGCGTCCGCGGAGGTAGAGCTGCAGCTGCAGCCAGTCACTGAGGGGCAGAGTAGTAAGTAACTGCACAGCTTGTTTACAACGAAATATATATTTTTACCGCACTTTTATGAGCATTTAAAACATAATTCAACAATTTTTTCGGGGGGGGGGGGGGGCGCCACTGCCATTGACACAGAAAACTGTCTGTGCAAATAGAGGAGCAATATGCTGTCCATTAACCTCTACGGGACGGCTGAGTTAATGTGCGCTAATGTGATTAGCATGACTGTTGTAAGTAACAGCAAACTTTCCAGGACATAGACATGTCTTATATGGGCAGAAAGCTTAGATTCGTGTTAATCTAACTGCACTGTCCAATTTACAGTAGCTATTACAGTGAAAAAAAATACCATGTTATTGTTTGAGGAGAGTGAACAACAACAAACAACTTATCACGGCAACTGGTTTGATACATTCACCACTGAAGGTAAATAATGTACTTACATTCAGTAAACTTGCTCTGATTTGTCATCCTGAGGGTCCCAGAGATAAAATGTAGCATAGTTTTGTTTGATAAAATCAATTTCTATATTCAAATATAGGAACAGGGTTCTACAGTTTGAACCCCTGCTGTCTGATGTGTGAAGGTTTGTGTATAAGCTAATAATCCATCATGTATGACATTCCTGGGAGTGTGTAAAATTACAAAAATGATATGGTAATACAGAAATGTATGTTCTCTATAGTTATGTACTTGAAAATGTATCAACTGACCAATTCGGCACATTTGGGCAGACTTTGTGGTCCTCTGTAGCTCAATTGGTAGAGCATGGCGCTTGTAACGCCAGGGTAGTGGGTTCGAACCCCGGGACCACCCATACGTAAAAATGTATGCACACATGACTGTAAGTCGCTTTGGATAAAAGCGTCTGCTAAATGGCATATTATTATTATATTATTTATACAAAATAGTCCAGTATTGCAAACTGGATCAATCTGAAACTTTGCACACATATTGTGGCCTTTCTCTTGCATTTCAAAGATGGAACAAAAATAATAATAGAAAACGCATGTTTTTTGTTTGTATTATCTTTTACCAGATCGAATGTGTTATATTCTCCTACATTCATTTCACGTCCACAAACTTCAAAGTGTTTCCTTTCAAATGGTATCAAGAATACGCATATCTTCGCTTCAGGTCCTGCGCTACAGGCAGTTAGATTTGGTATGTCATTTTAGGCGAAAATTGATTTTAAAAAAGGGGTTAGATCCTTAAGAGGTTAAGGGTGTTTCATTTCTAAAGGGATTGAAGTAGACTGCAAAGACCGGCACAGTCAGAGTATTGTTGTCTGCCACTTGCCATTTACTTGTGCTGATTGACAGCAGCATAGATGCAAAGTAGGCCATCATATGACTAGTTAGTCATACAGACTAACAGTTATTATCAGAACACTGAGACGTCATACAGACTAACAGTTATTATCGGAACACTGAGACGTCATACAGACTAACAGTTATTATCAGAACACTGAGACTTCATACAGCCTAACTGTTATTATCGGAACAGACTTCATACAGCCTAACAGTTATTATCAGAACAGACTTCATACAGCCTAACAGTTATTATCAGAACACTGAGACGTCATACAGCCTAACAGTTATTATCAGAACACTGAGACGTCATACAGCCTAACAGTTATTATCAGAACACTGAGACGTCATACAGCCTAACAGTTATTATCAGAACACTGAGACATCATACAGCCTAACAGTTATTATCAGAACACTGAGACGTCATACAGCCTAACAGTTATTATCAGAACACTGAGACGTCATACAGCCTAACAGTTATTATCAGAACACTGAGACGTCATACAGCCTAACAGTTATCAGAACACTGAGACGTCATACAGCCTAACAGTTATTATCAGAACACTGAGACGTCATACAGCCTAACAGTTATCATCAGAACACTGAGACGTCATACAGCCTAACAGTTATTTTCAGAACACTGAGACTGAAGCGAGACTGTCTTTACTCTGCACAGGCGATTAATTAATTAATTATTTTTATATAAAAAAATTGGAGGAGCCGCCAATGCTAAATCTTTAACAAAACTGTTGATCATTATGTTCAATAGTCTGGAGTGGACTGAAGGCCTGAAGTTGTGAACGTACAGAAGAGGAATGCCAATACCTCATTCCCCCCCTGGCAACCCTTCACAAAAATAGCCTAAGCCCCCTAGTCTCCATACACCAACACTCCTTGACCCAGATTATATCTACAGCACAGACAATACTCAAGGTTTTGAGGAATGCATGACAAATGCTTACTGTACAAGCATATAAAGATGTCCCAATCATTATCGCTACATGCCTACAAATACCAGCAATATTGAACAAGATATACCAATCTGTGCTAGTGAGTGTTGAGCGCATTCAGTGTAGCTCAGCCATACAGCCAAGGGTTAATCCACCTGCAGTGTTTTATATACACTCTATGCCTCTCTGCCAGGGTAAAGAAGGACCAGAGCACTGCAGGAAGCAGCTGTTTAGTCGAGAGGCATGTGAATTCTGACAATGCCTTAAAATGTGAACCCTCCGTTGGTAGAGACCAAGCATGAATGTGTCAAAGGTGAGCTAGTAAAAAAGTGAGCAGAGAAAGACGTCAGAGGTGTGTCAAGATGTGGGCAGTCCTTGTCCACAGGGCCCGCATACAGTACCTTGAGCAGAAGACAAGGCAACGTATGGAAACGTCACCTCGAGTGAGCCAACTTTACCTATGCCACCCGAGACATTGTACAAGGTGGGAGGACGCCCACTGACATCCCATTTTGCACTTCTTGGAACTATGCCAGTTGAAGTGGGTCTTCGGAACCCTCTATTAACTATTAGACATTTGTTTTCCTTGACCCTCTTACGGTTAGAGTAAATTAGACATTTTGTAACACATCTGAGTGGTTAGTTATGAAGCTCTAGGCAACCAACCTGAGAGTTGGTGACCCAGCTGCATTACACAAGGGGAAAGCAAGGCAATTGTCAAACAATGAAACAGAAGTCAAAATCATCACAACTGACTGATTGTACATTACCATACATCACTTTAGTTTGGGGGGGGGGGGGGGGGGGGGGGGGTAGCTGTCTAAACTCCACGGTGAAGGAAGTTTGATGAACTCCAGTATGTGAGTGGAGTTGAGTGGTTGTAAATCCCACTCATAGCTCATGGATCAGTGCTTGCGCATCACTCCGGTGCTCCACGTTCTTTTCCAACTGCTCTGCTAAAAATCACTCCGAGCTCACAGGGAGAAAAAAAAACTGCCGCTCCAAATTCGCTCCATTCATTAAAATCACAATTTAACCAACACCCCATCTATTTTTCTGACTACCTGGACCTACTATTTGGTTTTGAAGTATTGAAACTGAATGAAAAGTCTTTGAATAAACATGAAAAGGTGAAAGTAAGAAGCGAACATAATTTCAAATAGTCTACATGTCATATTAAACAGCATATAAACACTCTAAATAGGTCAGGAGCCAGACAGGGAGCCTAAGAAGGAAGGAAAATTAATTATTTAGGCTATATTATAGCCTACAAAGAAATGCGTTGTGAAGCGAGTGCGACACACTAGGCTGGTTGGGACATAAAGCTCTCAGCATTTAAACAACATGTCCTTGTATAGATAATATAACAAAAATGAACAAACATTTTAAGAGATCTGCTTTTTAAAAATAAATACTTTACTACAATAACACTTAAATTATCTACCCACCTCGTTCCTTTCTTGTAGCATGTGGACGTAGTAACTACACCATCATGCTTTCGGGATACCGGTCTTTTCAGATAATGATTATTTAGTTGCGGACACTACATCCCGCACACCCCCTCTTGCTCTTGGTCCTCATCTTTGTAAATCACCTTGATTTTGCACATGTGTCTTATCAGTTTCTTTATAAAAAAAACTATTTAGCAAACCCCATGACAGTAGCTAAAGCAATAGCAGCACACAAATGCATGCTGGGCCGGCATGACCTGAGCTCGTGAAGTGAGCGCTACTGGATCGGGCATGAAGGCCAATGCTTCAGCCTTTGGGAATTTCGTTCCGACCTTCAGTCAAATTGGGCATGCTCAGCTACTCGCTCCGCTCCAGCTCCACTCCGATACTCCACCAATGGAGTGGAGCAAAGACCAGGCTTTTGTGGAATTCAGCTCCAACTACATGGATTCGCCCAAGGTCAACACTTCAAAAACATTTTTACCTTTGTTTTAACCTCTGTAGATGTGTGCCTTTGTTTGTTGAAATCCATACTTTTTCAATAAACGTTAATCAAATACAACCACCGACTGTTTGCTCATTGCTGTTGCTGTAAGATGCCAACTCAGCGCAAGTGGCGTGTGCCAATTGAATCTCAACATGGAAACAGTTGGTGGTTGTATTTGATTAACGTTTAATGAAAAAGTGTGGATTTTAGCAAATGAAAAAAGGCACACAACTACAGAGAACAAAAGTATTGACCTTGGGCGAATTGATGTAGTATGAGCTGAATTCCACAAATCCTGTAATCATTATGCCATTCTGTTGTAAACCGTTTACTCGAAACGATCGTTTCTATTGGACAAATTCAGGTAGTTCCCTTCCCGTTTCGTTCTGTTTGCTCCTGTTTGGTTCTTAAATGGTAAATGAATGCACCCCTGGGGCAATTGTTGTAAAACGTTTATTAAACAGATGCAAACGGAACGCAACAGGGAGGGACCTACCTGAATGTATCCAATATAAACTCGTTTTGCTCCGTTTGGTTCATAAACGGTAAACGGTTTCCGTAATGGAAATACGGCCCAGGTCTCTGCTCCACTCCGTTGGAGTTCATCAGAAACTTTCTTCACCATGGAGTTGAGTTTAGTCAGCTGTGTTTCTTTTGGGAACAAGCTTTGGAACCTGTCTGTCACGAATGGTTCGTGTGTATTCATGTCAAGAAGAGTGACAATTTTCAATGTTCTTGCTGCCGGTCGCGAACTGTGTGTACACTGTAACAACCTTGCCCCCATGCCAAGGTGTTTAGTGTGCAAATAAATAGTTACAACGTAGCCAACTTCGCTAGTCAACTTTACCTTACAGCCAACACACTGCAGTGACAATAAAGAATGGTAATGAGTGTTGCGGTGTTAAAATAAAGTTACGTACCGCTAAATATTAACCAGCTGTCAACTTCCTTGTCCCTTGGGTAGTTGTTTTGTCGTGCACGCGCGAACGGTGACCTCCGGGGGCTTCCTCTTTCCTTTGAAGTAGGATTTTGCCCTTTAAAATCAAAGGGCTTGGTCACTGCCATCTACCGTCTGGAGTGTGTGGAAACATGACATTGATTGAAAATCAATTTGTGTTTCTGATCATGAGCTGACACTGCTATCATAAGTATATAGAAACAAATGATTTACAATGTTTGAAATGATTACGTTCTTGGTATGTTTATTCTATTTAAAAGGAGAGTTCTGCTACCTATTATCCATTTGACAGGCTAGGGATATGAAATCCTGGGGAGGGTGTCTTTGACAAGCATTCGATTTACAATGTTGCCTTTGTAAATAAAAGTACAAATAAATGACAAGAAAAACCTCTTAGGCTGAAAGATTGGTACAGAGCACAGGTTGGTAGGACTCAATTGATTGAAAAGCCATAATCTTCTTTCATCGGTTAAAAAAAAACAGCAAAATCAAATGTCACAACATATAAATTCCACTCAGTGTAAAATAGTTCACTGAGAAACAGTATTGTTGTGTCAACCTGAAAAATAAACATTCTACCTACACTGAAAAAAATGAAGCTTTTAAGGTTCCTTGGAGAACTCTTGCCCGATAACCTTTGAGTTAAGTGGGGGGTTCTTGCCATGGCATCTACATTTTTACATTTTAGTAATTTAGCAGACGCTCTTATCCAGAGAGACTTACAGGAGCAATTAGGGTTAAGTGCCTAGCTCAAGGGCACATCGACAGATTCTTTCACCTAGCTCGGCTTAACCACTAAGCTACCTGCCGCCCCAATCTAGGGTTCTTTAGAATTCTGAAAGGTTATTGAAATGTATCCCTTTCATAGCACACAGCAAATTGGCCAGCATTCAGTGTCACATTTCTAGTGTTGATTCAGGAGTTAAATTAACACTAAAGAGTTTTACATTTGACATTTTAGTCATTTGCAGCTGCTCTTATCCTGGGCAACTTACATTTAGTGCATTCATCTTAAGATAGCTAGGTGGAACAACCACAGATCTCAGTCATAGTAAGTACATTTTTCCTCAATAAAGTAGCTATCAGCAAAGTCAGTGCTAGTAGAAAAAAAAAGTTAAATTAACATTCAGTGACGTAAAAGAACCCCAGTGTTGGTGTTATGCTGCGTTCCTGTGCTAGTCGGAACTAGGAAACTCAGAAATCTCAGACTTGCTAACTGGTTGAACGTGGCACCTGTATAACTACAACCAATTAGCAAGTCGGAAATGTCAGCGTTTCCTAGTTCCGACTAGCAAACCAGAGTTTAACCAAAACCACGGCCATCATTATCATATTTCCCAGCATGCTCTATTGCGGGTTGATTTTATTTTATTTTATGTTTTTGCATTGATTGATTGATTGATCTTATGCTACTCAAATATAAATAACATAAATTTTTCTAAACTAATCCATTCATTTATTTGGATTTACTGAAATGGTTGTTCCATTTTAGAATGCTTTACGTCCCTCTAACTCATCTCTGGACCTGGAAGCCAGTTCCACTGCCTTTTTTAATTGTTCCCTTCTAATCAGGGACTGATTTAGACCTGAGACACCAGGTGTGTGCAATTACTTATCAGGAAGAACAGAAAACCAGCAGGCTCCGGACCTCGTGGGGTAAGAGTTGAATATCCCTGCTTTGGGTAGTCTCATATCTTAGTCTTCCCAACCCTGGCAGTCTTTCTGAATGCAGGTTGCGAGTGAATAAACATTCCAAATGTTGGATATCCCAACTCTGGCTGGATTCCAAAAGAAATTACACATCACTTTGCAAGCCAGCATAATGTGACTTGCAGGCCTGATGTGGCCTGTAAACCATGACTTTCAGTCCACTTTATTAGGGTTAAACTAGGCCCTCAGAATAAGGCCTTATGAAATTTGTATTGTATTGTCTTAAATAATTTAATGTTAATGATAACATCACTTAGGATTTCTCTTGGTGAAGGCCACAGGACTGAAAATGAATGAATGCAACAACCATGTCTCTGTCACTATCAAACACAGTCATGGGTGGTACTGGTAACTTTAAACTTCACTTGAAAGGGACGCTGGGAAATATGCAAATAAGGCTCAACACCAGTGGAGGCTGCTGAGGGGAGGATGGCTCAGAATAATGGCTGGAATGGAGTCAATGGAATGGTATCAAACACATCACTCCATTCCGGCCATTATTATTATGAGCCGTCCTCCCCTCAGCAGCCTCCACTGTTTCACTGTTAGTCTACACCTGTTGTTTACGAAGCATGTGACGAAATACATAACATTTTTATTTCATTGTATTTCATTTGTGTGTCAAATTTACAGGGAAACATATTCCATCATATCACATAGAAATAGGTGTATTGTATGTATATCGTGGTATTTCAAATGTGACTGATCTTGTCTATCAGTGTTATGTTACATGTGTGGGGGGGGGGGGGGGGGTTGGATCCCGGGAAGAATAGCTGCTGCTTCGTCAAAAGCTAACAGGGATCCGAATAAACCAAACCATAACCAAACCAAACCAAACCGGGACACGAGGCTAATCTACCTGACACAGGGACACTGAGGAGAAAGGCCCTACATAAAAACCTGGATAGAGAGCTCAGTGAATGTGGTCTCAAATGTGTGCAGGAGGGTCACTGTGTCATGGGAGATGCGGTAGAAGGACAGCATGCTGGTTTGCCAGGCCAGATACACTCCTACTATATTGGAGAAGGGGTTACTGAAGAAAGTGCCCTTATCGTTGTGCCAGCAGTGTACATGCCATTATAACACCTCAGGCTCCAAGATATGTCATTGTGGATTCTTTCATATGCCACTCCTATATAAGCGGTTGGCCCACTCCACTCAACCTCCCAGTAACATTGCTCAGTCAGACCCTCTCTACACAGCACCTGTGACCATTTCTGAGTTTGACTTGATATCCTAGGAATTCCTATAGGGGCGCATGGGGCTTCCCAGCCAAAGACTGTGTTCCCAGCTGATTCATTACCAGTGACTTGAAGCCGAAGCAAGCTACATCACCGTGTCATTTATTTCAGGGGTATGACACCTGCAGAGATGAACATCATAAAATGGCAGTAAATATCATATTTCAACTTGATAAGGCTACGACTCTTGCAGTGGCTGGTGGGAGGAGCTATAGGAGGATGGGCTCATTGTAATGGCTGGAATGGAATTGATGGAACGTATCAAACATATAGAAACCACATGTTTGACTCCGTTCCATTAATTCTATTCCAGCCATTACAGTGAGCCTGTTCTCCTATTGCTCCTCCCACCAGACTCCACTGGACTCTTGTCACCATAACTGTGTTACTAAAATAATCAAAATGGTCTCTAGACTCAAAACTTTTCTCAATATAATAAAGATCCAACCTGCTATGAGCCTTCCTGATAGGTCATGTAACATTTCCTCAAACAATCAACACCTAAACAAGAAATGCACAAATAAACAAAAAGTTCACAAACAAATTCCATATAGCCAACTGACCTCCGTGTCTCCAGTTTACATTGTGGAGTCTCAGTCCAGCAGAGAGCCACTTCACTCCAGAATCCTGCAGGTCATTGTCACTCAGATCCAGCCCTCTCAGGTACAGCTGGGTGCAGGTGAGTCTGGTCTCTCCATGGACACACAGCTGGGTACAGGTGAGTCTGGTATCTCCTGATGGACACACAGCTGGGTACAGGTGAGTCTGGTCTCTCTTCATTGACACACAGCTGGGTACAGGTGAGTCTGGTCTCTCCTGATGGACACACAGCTGGGTAGAGGTCAGTCTGGTCTCTCTTCATGGACACACAGCTGGGTACAGGTGAGTCTGGTCTCTCTTCATTGACACACAGCTGGGTACAGGTGAGTCTGGTCTCTTCATTGACACACAGCTGGGTATAGGTGAGTCTGGTCTCTCCATGGACACACAGCTGGGTGTAGGTGAGTCTGGTTTCTCTTCATGGACACACAGCTGGGTACAGTTGAGTCTGGTCTCTCTTCATTGACACACAGCTGTGTACAGGTGAGTCTGGTCTCTTCATTGACACACAGCTGGGTGCAGGTGAGTCTGGTCTCTCCTGATGGACACACAGCTGGGTACAGGTGAGTCTGGTCTCTTCATTGACACACAGCTGGGTACAGTTGAGTCTGGTCTCTCTTCATGGACACACAGCTGGGTGCAGGTGAGTCTGGTCTCTCCTGATGGACACACAGCTGGTTACAGGTGAGTCTGGTCTCTCCATGGACACACAGCTGTGTGCAGTTGAGTCTGGTCTCTCTTCATGGACACACAGCTGGGTACAGTTGAGTCTGGTCTCTCTTCATGGACACACAGCTGGGTACAGTTGAGTCTGGTCTCTCTTCATGGACACACAACTGGTTACAGGTGAGTCTGGTCTCTCTTCATGGACACACAGCTGGATACAGGTGAGTCTGGTCTCTTCATTGACACACAGCTGGGTACAGGTGAGTCTGGTCTCTTCATTGACACACAGCTGGGTACAAGTGAGTGTGGTCTCTCTTCAATGACACACAGCTGGGTACAGGTGAGTCTGGGCTCTCTTCATTGACACACAGCTGGGTACAGGTGAGTCTGGTCTCTCTTCATTGACACACAGCTGGGTCCAAGTGAGTGTGGTCTCTCTTCATTGACACACATCTGGGTACAGGTGAGTCTGGTCTCGCCTGATGGACACACAGCTGGGTACAGGTGAGTCTGGTCTCTCCTGATGGACACACAGCTGGGTACAGGTGAGTCTGGTCTCTTCATTGACACAAAGCTGGGT